ACGGTGCCAAATATTATAGAATAAACCTTCATAGGGTAGAATTTATGGTTTATAACTAAAAAAACAGATGTTTTTAATCGTCTATACGCGGTTAACAACCGGCAGAATTTGGCAGATGGCATCACTTACCCCAAAAATTATGACTACTAAAAAATCTCGAGACAAGTGGGGTATGTTCACTTATTGACATGGTATCTATTTAACCTCTGTATCCAAGGTTGTATTATTTTATGTATCGAAACGACGCAGACGGTTGATCTATTGGTATTAGTACGCCGAATTATCGATACCCGTAGTAGAGTGTGACCTAATTCTAAAACTATCAGACGGGGCTTTTAATGGCGTTTAGTTTATTATAAAGGTAACCCACGTGTGTAGCCACGATTTTCAGTTCAGAAGCCTTGTAAAGGAATGTCTAATACAATCATTTTTCGGGGACGAGATTTTTCTCGAGTTTTTGATTCAGCCTTCCCGTGGCCGGATTACTTTTGACCTAGAATGGACCAGATTTGAACTCCCTCGGTGGTCAAACATGAAATGAGTTTTTTTAGAACTAGTAAAATGGAATGGGTTTTCCACGACAAACAAGGAAACATTCATATGACTCTGTCTCTCTTCAGAATTACAAAAAGTAAACAATCCTGTTTTGAAACCGTAATTATAGTCCTGGTGGAGATGTATCGTTTCATCTTTTTCATTCCTCTATCTATTTCAAACTATTGCATCCCATTTCCAGCATGTAATTTCTCTCATGAACCCCCTGTTTAGTATCGCGTAATGGTGTAATTTGATGAGTATGATAGGTATAAAAGTGAAGATGGGTGGGTTTTAGCTATTGTTGTGGGGCTTGGATATGGTAATCGTCGTGGTTCTGAGTGAGTTGTTTCATTTCTGGTCTGCATCCCTGGATCAAAGGTTACGATTGTTTTGTATTCTCCCCTTCCGTTTGAACTGCACGGCTTCTGATTGGTTGGCATTAATGACCTGGGTTCTTTGTCCAGAAACTGTAACCTGTTATCCCGTGACTGGTGTATTCTCAGAGGCTAGAATGAGAACACTCCGCTTTCAACTTTCCAATCTTCTCTCTCCTCTTTCATTCAAAGTGGTAATCGAAGGACAACAGCCAAAATAACCGCACTAAAGACCAAACTAAAAACTGAATTTTTTTAGTTTCGTTGGGGCTCGTTTGGTCTGGCTGATAGAGAGAGCTTCTGCTGCTATTGTAGCGAGAAGGCGAGCTGGCTGGGAAAACGTTTAATGATCCAATTCCAAAAACAACCGGTGTACGCGTTCAATCATATACATTCAATTCTTAACCGCGCGGCATGCCTCTTTCTGTTGATCAATCCCTGCTGGCCTCGGTCCGCACTTGGCGCATACGTTGCTTCTTCTTCCGCGTGCCGTTCCGACTGGTATGACCCGATCGTAGCGCGAGATACGTTGATCGACAGCTCCGACGCAGTGACATTCGGTATATATCTTTCTGGCTAGCTGCCGATCGTCTGTCGGGCTGTAATTGTCGATTCGTTCGTTTCGGGTAGTAGTCAACATTGTCTCTCAAAGTACTTCCAGCCGCTACGTCTGCACGTCTGGTTGGATGGATCCCATTCTTGAGTCGTTCGCTAGCCGAGGCCCTCTTTGTACCATCTTCCATCACACTATTACCGGGGTAGCCTTACTGAAGGGATGCGAAATGAAATGCTCTTTTAAACACCCCAACCATTGAACGAATCATCGCCCCTGGTGAGGCTCACTTCGACACGTCTATTACCGATTGTTTATTTGACGAACCCAAATCCGCTGATCACCGGATGTTGCATTCATGTTGGAATGACATCTGACTATTCCATGAATGAGTGAATACACAACTCTACACCTGGCGCTCTTATGCACTATCATTGATAAGGAAGTTTCATTTCATTTTGAATTCTGGCCGATGAAAGTATTACACTTCTAATTTGTCAAGTGGATGATTTTATTTGGGGATTCAATGTTTCGAACCGACTTTAGGCTTGAATGGAAAAGGGGTGTTTAATGGAAAATATATTCCAATTCTATCCTGATACCTTTATTGAACTACTCCTCTGTGGGAATTTCGTAGCACATCTCAGCCTCTCAACCAAGCAAGCAGGTGTTAACGGGGCCAGTTTTTAACTTTATGTCATGCTACTATCTATATTGTACCGAAGGGTGCCAGTTTTGGTTATTATCTACAATTCGGCTCTCTGTTCTCTTGATCGATTCCCTCGGAGTTTTGGTTCAACCGATTAAGTCTGGTGGGTTAATCGCATTATCTACTGTTTTTCACAACAAATCCGCAGTGCATGTGCGGAGCAGTAAACAAACGCTAGTTGTTTGGTTTAATCAGCCTCTTTAACACGAACTGATTTTGAGCGCCATGAGATATCCAGTCAGCGGGATTGTATCAAGCCAGTGAATGTTCAATGTCCCAAAGAGATTAAATCCCCCATGCAACTAATATTCTCTAGATTATTGGTACGGAAGTTCAACCTAGATTGTTCGCGAAAGGTGCATCGCAAGGATATTCCAAGTTAGTTTTCATGAACGTCAACACAAGAAAAATCCCAGGCGGTTTTGGGTGTTGTGATTTGGGTGAGTGGAGGACGAGACGGAGGTAGTCCCAGGGTAAATGTACGTAAGACCATGAAACCAAATTTGAAAAGAAATTCAGTAGGGAAAATAGCACCACTGTTGATGGCACTCGGCCACATCATTTATTATCTCTAAAAATCGACTAGACTTATGGTGAGGTCTCCAACTCGGAGGACTCACGCGATCTAAATGCCTAATTCCCGTGTTTACAGTTTTCATACGTTCATGCCAGTTTTTATCTTGATCACTATGAGCGTTCTTCCATCCATTATCTATCTCGGCAAACATCGCCTACCGAGAAATCCGATATGGTGACAAGTATAACACATGTTCCAGTCACCTTGATCTATGGAGGTGAATCAATTGGTTCAATGCGCGACCATGATTTCCTAAAACCTTGCGATCAACCTGAACACTCGTTGTCCGGTTAACCTATCAAAAGGTGAACTGTAGCTGACCGAGTAGCAAAATTTGTTCAGTCCCTCCTTCTTTGTTTGTAGTTTCAACTGTCAAAGTTAAGGCAAAAGCATTGCGCATGCCAATTACGGCTATAAAAACACTAAAACCATCCAAAAGGTTGCAACTTACCCAGATCATTACTCAGTCACGCAATGTGATTTGTGATTCAGGGCACTACAGGGAACTTCTGTGAGTGTACAACAAACTGTCGAACGGATTTTTCGAGAACGATTGGTTTCAAAAATTATCCCCAGAGTTGCAAACTATGATATGGCATAAGAATAGATACACATACGTAATGAGCTGGAATAACCGTGAGACCGACCACTTACTTCAGGAGAATTTTCGTCTTGCCATTAGCATAAAATTCCTGTTTTAATTTTAGAATGATATTACATTTTCTGAATGATATCGTTCTTTGTCAGTAAAAATTGCTTGCTCTTGACGGTGTTCGAACCCCCCCCCATTGTAAAACTATTGGCTAATCATTACGGAAACTGGAACCAGTTTACATTTTACCAAATCTTTACGGTTGTCCGACTCACACACTCACTGTGTACCACAAGAATGTATTTTATCTGTTTTCGATAGATTGCTCCTTATTAGCCCCGCTGATGTTGTAACATTGTGCTTCCCCTATCAGAATTCACCTTCTCGGAAAATTCTATAAGCGGATGCTTAGAGTCAAAAAAATCGTCCTATCCAGAACTAATAATGAACCGAAAGAAGTTCTGTGATATGGTTTAATTCCTTACGAAAACTTATTAAAGCAGAACTCTTCAGTACCACTCTCTTTACACATACTCCCTTTGATTACACCGTGGTTCGGTGGTCCCTGATTATTCACCCATCGAAATGCACGAAAAGTGTGTTGCTTCCTGTAAGCATTTTATTAATAAAACACTGAAAAGAAAATCAACAACACTTCCTAATGTACTAACGGTATGTTTGGAAAAAAGTATTTCTCATGGATTCCATGGAGAACGGTCAATAAGTGGCAAATTTCGAAAAATGCAAAGAACTCGTTTGCTTCTTCTATACACGAACCGTACTGAGTTTGTCCTCGTCCGGGATCGTATTTTCGTGATTGCCAGTTTGTCCGGATTTGACGCTCACATCGGGCAAATTCTCTCCAGTCGTGTCCTTAATGATCAGTAGTAAAATCATCTGCAGAACAGTGACACCGGCATAAATCAAAATTGGTACACCATGAGTAGCGTACACGTCTAACTGATTCACGAACGTGGACAAACTGCTACCCAGACGACCGATTGCGGAAGTCATACCGACTGCCCTGGTACGAACATTGGACGGGAACAGTTCAGCCACATAGACTGACATCATAATCATGGTTGCGGCATACAAGACTAAGGAGCAATTACAAAACACATTCAGTACTATATCGGATTTCGGTTTAACGAAAATTGAGTACAAACTACCAGTGAGCAGGGCAGCTAATATGATAAGAAAGCAAACCATTAGTGGATTTCGTCGATATCGAAAGATGCGGTACAGAATTGCGGCAATCACGGGTCCCGGAATGGCCGTCGCGGCATTCAGAAAAGCAACCAAATATACAGAATTGTGGATAACTCGTGCATAAAGCAATACACCAAAATAGCTCAATGATTGGGTAAAGTAGAGGAGCATACCAACAACGAGGTTTTTCAACAGTTCACCATTGGGAGTCTGTGTTCTGATGGACCTCCATCTATCTTTGATTGAACTCGATACCGGTTTACTGGCTAAACGAACTGCAGTTGATTTTCCTGTGGGTTTGAAATGTGAGTATTTTTCTTCGAGCAACTGCCATTGTGCCAGATCAACTGGGGATTTGGAACACAGATGGTTGATGCGCATGCCTTTCCGGAGCACAAGAAGTGCCTTATCTGGTCTGTTTTGGGAATTGTACCATCGAGGAGATTCGGGTAGGAGAAAGAAAAATGCTATGGAAATTAATCCGGGCATCAGACATATTGCATTGATCCACCTCCACTGAGGAACCACATAGGCTACACCAACCATGATAGCCTGATGAAAAAAAGCGATTCCAAGTATAGTAAATGCGGAGAAATAACCCCTATATTTGGCCAGGGTTAGCTCGATCGGTAGAAGACGAAGTACACTTGCTTTCCCCGTATTAGTAATTCCCACAAACATTCGACCTATATGGTAAACATAGTGGTTGGGTGCGGTGGAAATAACGACGGCTCCCACAAGTTCGACCAACGAGAAGCCGATAGCTGTTGGTTTACGACCATATTTATCACCGAGTGAGCCGCCAAGTAAATATCCCACAAACATTCCGATCATGAATAAAAATACTCCAAATGGAGGAATCCACGCGTGGTTACAAACCAGGTTGAAGTCCATCACAATAGTGCTTGGATGTTGGAATGGTCGGCTTCGATAAACATATCCGAAAGGACAGGGCTCCGTGCTTAAATTTGATGAATTTTGAACCACGGACCCATTTAATCGCAGATGATCCGCTATCAATCGCTTCACAGTCGCTTCATCAGTCCAGTTAAATTGAAGACGACTGCAACCATATTGAATCCCAGAATCCTTTACAGTCTTCGGCATGATAATCTCTGCGGCTTGATCAAAGTTTAAACCAAATTGAGAAAAGGTGTCCTCCACACTCGGCTCCATCTTACATCGTATATCCGGGACAGCATTTGCAAAGACCGGAAAAATAGACATGGTAGGTGCCGAAAGAACACACAAAATAACTACTGCCCATTGCCACAGTCCACATGCGCCGACGTGGTGTTCAAGAAGATCATCCACATTGACGAGATTTGCATTTTGTGAATTGGACTGTGTCAGCTGGTGTTCTGTCAAAGGAGTTGTGGTTAGTTCAATACTGTCGCGGTGTTCTGGAGGGTCCTCGGCACTCAACGCCGGAAAGGATTTGTCCATTCCTCTTGGTAAAATTCAAACAAACATGAGCAATGCCAAGTGCTGTACACACAAACGAGCGACAGACGACGTTGATTCCAACACTCCAAGTGCATTGCAGTTTGAAGTCCGATTTTTGATACGGAGTTTCTATTGGTCTACAGTAGACGGACAGACCGCCTTATCATACTCGTAGAGGATTCCTATTGGCTCACAGAAACTTATCGATCAGTCTAGGGCGAACAGTCAAATGACTGAACGCGCAACTGATTGGTCCGTGGAATAAACAAGCGGATTCTACTTGTGTATGTATGTGTGCTAAATTTAGACATGTGATCTAATTCCTGCGGCAAGATTGGTGCGCACAGACGCCTATCAGGGATGATGCGACATCCAAAAAACCGTTCCAAACTAAGCCCTGTTGTTGCATCCAATTTCACCAACGTTATTAAAAAACAGTCAATTGTTTAGCTTCACCTCGAGCCGGGTTAATCATAATCAAAATACATCTCTTCGCAACTTTTCGGTCTCTCTTACCACTGATGTGACCTTGTAAAGGTGTAAAATGTGTACTTCGAATCTATGAACGTTCCGTATTGACCTCATTGTTCGAAGGCTACTGGAAAATGTTCTTGGAGTTTCTGAGCCGCACATGGCTATTGCTTTATCTGACATTTCCAAATAGGATTTCCCTGTATACGGCTGTTTCTATCCTTAATGGCTATTCCCGATCGGATGAAACATGGTATATTAGGTGCTATTTTACTGGACTCTGAGGGTTCATCCTCGTCTGTCGTACCTTACTCAATAGGCACACTATTCCATTGTGTAAATGTTGAGCGAAATAAAATAAAAATATAACTTTTAATGATCCATTCAACCATAGGGTTTCCTTTTTGATGCAGACTGTGTCAAAATGTGTGAACAATAAACCATTTTTAGCAAGAACTTGTGTTATTTGCTTCAATTGCTTGTGGAAAATTCCAGTACACAGAACGCATAGCTGTTTTAGGTAAACCTAAAAAGTAAATTACCATTAAGAATGAGTATATTTTCATCAAAAGTCCTACAGCAGTTTATAATGAGTAGTATATGAATGGCTGGACAAAATTTCCCGGAAGCACGCTACCGGTTTCGCGGTCCTTGTCGCTCTTTAGGTATGAGTATTCAATAACCTTCTGTCTGTTCATCCTTACACTTCAACCCCCAATGTGAATTTTACAAATGAGATTTGCATTGCATAATTTATTTAAATCCCATAATATCTTTCAATAAATGAACTGCTAGTCCTGTGATCTTTTCCTTGCATCTCGGTTACGTGGGATATCGTCGTGCAAGTGTCAGTGAGATTAACCTTGCGGTACGTTCGTGCGTGGTTTGAATATTCGAATTGCTCTTGGTATATAAAGCTTTTGCTTGAATACTGGTGAAATGTCTATAGATATTTCACACTTTGTGCACTAAGCTTTTTGGTGCTTACTATTCCAAGTGTTGAACTCTTTACCGGTTCACGAGGTTGTATTTGAGCCGTTTTAACTTTTTATAGTTGTGTTCTCAAATCGCCTCTAGCTAACTTACTCGTGTATCCGTTTTACCCGGTCGTATTTTCCTAATTATTGCACTCTTCTCAAGGAGCGAAAATCATTGCGGAGGCAATGGTTGCAGTCCGTATGTAGCAGAGGGCATTCAGTGCAACAGGTGCGAAAAGTGATACCATCAAAGGTGCTCACTTTTAGCTAAGAAGGAGTACCTCATACACATTCAGAACAAGAACCTGAAGTGGGTGCGTGATCTCTATGAGGCATTCGCACCAGAGTGTCCACGATTAGTAAGGGTTATGGTTGTGGCTGAGAGGTGAACCCCTAAGATGCCGGAAAAGAAAACAAATACTCCGAAAAAGAATAATGTTGAGGAGAGCACCGGTGGAAAACCTACTGGGTCGGTAGGATTTAAGTTGAAACCACTGCTTAAAAGGAAGCTAAAACGTCTGAAGCGATCTCAGCACTTTTTCACGTATGATAGTCCTTGAAAGAGAACTACCCATGGTCCGGAACTCTACTCAAACGATGTTAGGTAGGACGAGAAACCTTGTCTTCCACAACTTGAGGGAGCCATATATCAGCGAAAGCAAGACGAGAAAGGAATCAGATAGGCAATGCCTCCAGGACATATTCAGGATGATTGGGATGCCTGCAAGCACTCCAGTTGTTAAGTGCCACCGCATTGGCTTATGGAAAGGTGATAAAGCGGTTGGGCCAAGGCCACTGTTAGTAGTCTTTCCGAGTATGTACCTCAGAGACGCCGTACTCGCGAGTGCAATGAAGTTGGACATAGTCACAGGTGGCCGTGTGAAGGTCACATCGGACTCAGGCATTCAGGCACCCAAGATTACACCAGACTCAAGCTCACAAAAGCCACCAGCTGCTGGGGTAAAGAGCTTGGGTGCCAATGAACGCGCCAGCAACAAGACCGACTATACAGATGAAAAGAGTGAGTAGAGTTTCGTTAGGTAGTTCTACCTCTAAAATCGTAAAAGAGCCAGGGATGGGCCAACTGAGAGGTGTGACTAAACCCAGTGGGCCAAAAAAGGACATTATCCTTCAAAAACAACGAAGCCCGAAAAGACTGGTATAAATGGCGCTTCGCGACGGCACCATTTGACGGAAAAGAGCAAAACCACACATGAGGCTCCGAAGAATGAAACTCCGATAATCGTACCCACCTCGGCAGCAAAAACGAGTTAAAACACTCAATGTCCTAGGTCGGTCAGCTGGGCAACGATTGTTGCAAATACGCCGACGACAAGGTTGTGGCTATCAGTGCAAGACTCACTAGTGCAATGTCAATTTCCGGCTCCCTCAGAAGATAGAGCGAAGTACGATTTACGCGTTGAGAACATCAGAGTTATGAATGATAGCAATAAATGGGATGTGAAAGTGATTTAGGAATCACCCTTCATTAAAGCAAAAATCTTGACTCTCCCTCGGGACTCTGCTGCTCTAGATAGGCCTTCCCCGCCAGCTCTACAAGCAGAAATTATCACAGTGTGGTACACGAATACTTGTAGTGTCAGTGGAAAGTGGGGAGAACCAGGAAGCAGCTCCCGAGGATCAGACATAGTATCACTGAATCATGGCTGAAAAAGGAGCGATCCGTTGCCCATTTAAACGAGTATACGTGCTATAGGTAGGACAGAACTGACGGAAGACAGGGGTGGAGTACTGCTGCTCGTTAATACTGACTTAAACCAAAAGGAAATGCAGCTGGAGTTAGCTACTCCGAATATCCCTGCCACATGAAGTAAGTGAGTGTAGTGTGCAAATATAGAGCCCCCATTGTGACGCCAGAGGAAGAGACGGGGCTGCTTATGATCCTACAACAAACTCTGGCGAAATACCAGCGTCTTAACATCAATCGCGACTTCAATTTCCCGGTTAACGTGGTATGCACCTACGGGATCCCCAGGGGCTGTATTCTTGCAATTTCTACAAGAAATAGCTCTGACACAGCATGTGATAAGAACAACGAGATACGGATGACAACAGAGACCCTCGCTGCTAGACCTAGTTTTCACAAGGTGCTACTCGGAAATAACTAGTCTAAATATGGAAGAACAGTAGGGTAAAAGTTATTCTCTTGGCTATCGCCGACACTGACCTACTCTTATGCGTCTATCTCGTTGCATAAACGTCACAGAATTGGTAAAAGCTGCAAATACCAACGCACGCACACAGGACAGTGTAGAAGCACTAGTTTAGTCAGGTGAAAGCATAGCTACGTGTAAGCGCGACAAAACGGAAACCCTACTTAAGTTCTTCAAAAGCGTCTATAGGACCCCGGCCAACTTTGATAATCCGGATTTATCAGGATACACCGATACGTCAGAGTTCGCCGAAATTGCCATCTGTGAAACAGACGTTCACTGAGAACTGCAGACATTAAACCAGCACAAATCAGCAGGTCGGAATGGATTTCATTCGGCCATAGTGCAGCCGCTGGCCGGGTAACTGACTGCACTTGTCAGGGAATCAGTGTAAACTGCTACGCTACCCCAGGACTGGAGTACAGCTACCGTAGTAACGTTGCTGTAATGATCGTATCAGTCGTAGTAATACGCACGGAATTCGGAACACCAACCACGCAATATGAATCACAGGACCCGAATCAATAATCAACTATCACGGACTGGATCGCAGAAGCACTGGGCCACAATGACACGGATTCGCAATGTCCCACGAGAACGAGACGCGAGGAAAAGGCCACAGGAATGGTAGTAAGCAGTAGTTCGTTTATTGGAAGAAATGAGGGTGATTAAATAACATGTACAAAGAGAAATTATTGACTATCTGGGCTTCCACCAATGGGATTGCAGTACTGCTTGCATAATCTTGCTTCTGTCTGCACTGTCTAGGGTTGGCGGGCACCTTCCGCCAATGACGTGTATTCAGAAGCCATGCACGTGTGATTGACGTCAGCATTCAAACTTGATTGATCGCCAATGTCCTAAAACTGTAACGCGCCGCTCCAGGGTGGGCGCCATCGTGTAGGCCTGGCTTACCACTGTTGTATCCCGTATGAGTCAGTAAGTACGCAAGCAGTGAATTAAGTAGTAATTATATTTCCAGTATGTAAACGCAAACGTAGCCGGTCCGTAAGCCGGTGAGCAAGCAGTGTGTCAACACGCAGACAGGCAGGCACAGAACTGGCGCAAGTCTTACCAAAAGGAGTGTCGTCACGCTGGGCAGTCAA